AACAGGAATGCTAGAAGCTGGGTCCCTGGGTCTGATAATACCACACATGAGCAAGCTTTGGTCTCTTCACAGGGACTTGAACGCATGGAAGGAAAAGGGGAAAAAAAGAACTTTGTAATTTCTTTTGTTCCAAGGAAATATCAGCAGTGAGGTGAGTAAAGGAGAGATGATGAAGATCTGCAACGGTCTGCGATTTTGATGTGGTCCTGTCTGCTCTGCCAATGCGCAAGAAGTTGCAAAACAAGAATCTGTCTCCTTGGCTTGCCTGGGTGTCTGTGCTCAAACAGCTCCAACGCATCTCCAGGAAACTGATGTCTTTACATGGCTCTGTTTCTCAAACATATAGGGACAATAAATTTAAATGTAGATGCTCTTTTACAGATTAGTCTCTCTGTGACACAGAAACACCCGAGTGAAAGACATTGTTCATGCTGTTTTTAACAGGGCTGACAAGCTGGATTTTCCTGCAAATCATAGCAAATGTGGGTCCTGGAGAACATATGCTCCAAAAGTTGGGGAAACCAAGTGACAAATGTATTTTTTATGTAATCAGCTGGAGTGCTTTGCTTTTCTTGTTTTAATAATGGGTAAGTGAAATATACTTGTGAAGAGGGAGATGTTCAGGGAGGTATGAGAAAATTCAGGAAGATTTCTTGTAGTGGATATCTGTGGTCCTGCTTCACTTAAGCACTCCTGGAAGGTTTTACTACAAGTACCAAGTTATAAAGAGTTCCATGTGTGCAAGCCTGGTTAACACTGATAATCAGCTAATCTGCACTAATAGTGACTATTCAGAGTCACGTCCATTTGCATGTGAAAAAGCAAGCGATTTCCCCTGGCCTTCAGTGCTGTTTACTTGAGCTCTCAGTCTGTGGAGGCAGATGTGGCAAAATTCAGCCTGGTGTCAGTAATGTCAGTAATGCATCACTGTTCAGAGAAAGTTATTTTGGACTCTCTAGTCTACAGCTCCTCAGATAGCAGCCTGTGGCCCAGAGGTGGGCCAGGAATTAATTTGGCCCAGATTTCTTGAGTTGTTCAGAGAGATGGTATGGAGCACCATTGTGGTTTTCCTCTGAAAAATAAAAAAATCTCAGTTCATAACTGCCCTAACAAAAGCAGAGAGGACACACTGCGTTATTCCATTGTAGAATTACTGCACCACTGAACCCAGAAGTTCAAGGAGTTTGACTCACTGGCTTATGCTATTGAGGGCGTATTCTGGGTAGGATGAACTAGATAAATAAGGAAAAGAAGCAAAGAAGAAAAAATAATCAGCAAACAAATGGTATAGAAGTGGAACAGAGAGAACTGAGTGGAAAACAAATACAGGACTGCAAAAAATAAGAGTAAAAATGCACCGAAGGAAGATTTCTAATAAAAAATTAATAGGGTACATATACTTTATATAGAACACCATTCACGCTAACACACCTTTGGAGTGCAGTTTGCTCCCTTATAGACAGCATTGGCTGATCTTCTGCTGTAAGGCCATTCACTCTTGGAGGGTTGAGTGGAAGGGGTTGAATTGGTGTGACAACTGGTTTGCAAACCTCAGCTTGCTGAAACTCCAGCACTATTTTTATATACAAGTGCAGTTGTCCTTACTGCATTGAAAAGCTAGCAAACATTGCTGAAAATCAGCAAGTGCCATAGCCTTGGGGGCAAGGAAAGAAATTCTTTCTTCCTCAGTGCCATGATGAAGGGACTAAGTTTTGGATTTCAAAATCACAGGTGCTCCAAAATCAGTAGCTTCTTTGAGAAATCTAAATTACAGGGAAAAAAAACCATAAATATAGTTAGAAAATGTGGGTGAAAGAAGAGGAGGTAGAGATAAAATGAATGCTGAATCCAGGAAAAAGTCAAGGACAGAGGGCTTGAAGGCTTCAGTCTTTGAATTCTGTTCCCTGTTATTGCAGGCAGCCATACCTTCCAGTCCTGTTAAAAAATGTATCAGGATTTGAGAATTTGTGCCCAAATGCTGTTGGAAGGCTTGCCAGAACTTCCTTGAATAATGGCCCTTGAAGAAGAAAAGGCAAAAATTGGGAATCGGTGAGACTCGGCACAGAGTAAGCTGAAAACAAGGCAAGTGGAGTGGCTGAGGAGGTGGTCTGACGACAGACATTTCAACAGGGCAGATTGGGTCAAATGGACCGGCAGACTTTGCCAGCTGAAAGAGGATTTTCTTTGTATGTGTTTGTTATGGAACCAAATAACGTGTGCGTGCTCAGATATTGCCTGAGGAAAGATGTTTGTGCAATTCTTTCGTGTTGTCAAAACACAAGGGGAGAGAGTTGCTTAAAGCTACTTGGGAATGTTCAGAAGACAAGGTTCCCTTTGAGGAGAGCAGCCTAGGTGCTGGCTGGCTTTCACAGGCTTCATTTACACATGCTGAGGCTGCGCCGTTTCCAAACTACACCACCACTGCAACTGCCTTCCTCACTTTTTTCCTCATATCGACACTACCTTCAAAAAAACACATTAAAACATGTGATAAAAAGATCCTGTTGAGTAAATTTATACTATAGCTGGGGTTAGACACTTCAATTAAAAAAAAAAAAAGATATTCTTCCCAAGCAGTGAGGAACCTTTGTTGAAACCTCACAGTCTTTTGTAGTTGGAATCGTGCTTGGCATCCCTTCCAGGGGATGCTGGAACTGCCAGCAAAGTTCAAGCTGTAATGTGGACAGGGCCATAGAAACAAGCTCTGGGGGACTCTGTTGTTATTATTACCTATTGCTTGCGCTGTCTACAGTGCACTAAGAAAGTTCTCCGATCTCTAAAGCTTGTATGGTGGGAGCACCGGTAAGGTCACAGTTTATATTTATCAGTTAACTTGCTAATTTGAAGGGAAAGCAGTGAAGTGGAAATGTAGAAAATAGAAACAACATGAGCAGGTCAAAATATCCAAAACAGCAATATGAAATGTTCCAGTGTAAATACATTTCTATAAAAGGTGTGAATGAAACTTAAAAAAAAAAAGATGATGGATTCGGCACAGTCAATGAACACAATTATAAGTAGGTATTGAAGGAGAATATTCCACCAACCATGGATCCACAGATAATAATTAATAAGAGCCGACTCCACTCTAGGCAGGCAGGTGCCCAGCATTATTTCACAGTTGACTGTTTGGAGGGTAGAGGTACTCACCTTTGCCCCAGATCTTAATAATTTACTGCAGTTTTATCATTAAATCACCATATAATTGGGAAGGAAATGAGGTTTTTTCTTCGTCATGAGAGCAAAGCAATACTGTTAATGTAATCATTTGTAGGAAAGGTTTTCTGTAGTCATTCGGTATTTTGCTGTGGGTTTTTTTAATTAAGTAAAGTAAAAACAATGCCATTTTTGTCATCTGTGCTTGGTGAAAATATGACAGTGTGATGTGATTTGCAACTCAAGCACAAGCCGGGAAAACTGTACATTTTATCAGGACTGGCAATAATGAATTACAAGGGAACACAAATAAGCTAAGAATATATCTGAGACCTCCTACCATTTCTGAAGTTTCCAATGTCTGCAGGAAAAAGGCTATTTCAAGAATTGTACTTCTTTTTATTTATTTTTTCTCTCAGCAAAATCGCCGTAGCCTTGTATAATAATTGAATTCATTTAGCCTTTAGAATACTCAAGTTTGCAAATAACAATGAAAATGAATATTTCATGACAAGGAGGATGATCAATTATAGTTTTGTGACTTTGACTGGTAGCCCAGCACGACGGAGCCAGCGCTTGCATTTCACGAGACATTTTGCACCCAGCTAATTAAAAAAACTGCAACTTAAGACAATAAGCAGACTCGTCGGGATGGTAAAACAAGACATTTATTTGGTTTTTCCCCCCTGTTGTGGGCAGTGTTTTGCGGGTCAGTTTGGTACCTGTGTGTGCAGTGCAAAGGGGCATCATAAACCAGTCGCACCTGCAGCAGCAGCCCCTATTGTCTGGGGAAGGCTCCAAGGAGACTGTTCTCTTAACAGCATGTCTGGGTTTTCATACAAGAAGAGGGTTTTTTTTGATTTTCAATGAGAAAACGCTGGGTTCAGGTCAGAGGGGTTAGTGCGCGGTGTTCATACAGAAATGCACTCGGCGGCAGCAGCGCTTATAGGAAAAAGCAGGCGGGGGGCCTGAGCAGTTATGGGCAGTTGCTTGTCACAACCCTGGTTTCCAGGGGGAGTACACTGAGACGGAGCAGGGAGTAAAGAGCAGCTGAGAAGTACTGTAATCTAGCTGGGAACAGGATCAGGCTCCCTCCTCGTAGCAGGTGAGATAACTGGGTGAATGGTTTTTATAGAGGCTTACTCCATTCCTGGGAAATGCTGGGGGGGGGCAGGATTTTGCGGATGCATTTAGTGTGGAAAAACTAACTTGAGCTGCAATTATCGATGAGAAACTGTTAAGCTAACCAAAATACTTGGTGAGGTGCAAAAGCCCCGAGTGGAGAAAAAAAAAAAAATGTTCAAAGGTGGTATAACTTTTTGCTGAACTCTGGGATAGCTTCTCCAAAAGAAACAGCGCAGGGGAGCCAGTGCAGGCACTCCAAAGGTTAGGGCGGGCTACTCGGAGCGCGCAGGCTGCTGCTTGGCTTGGAGTTGCTTCACTTTTTCTTTATAAATAAGCACAGCTCTGCCTGTTGTTTGCTTGGTGAGGGGAGGAGGGAGGAGAAAAAGAAACCAAGCCAAGAACTAAAAAAAAAAAAAAAAAAAAAAAAGGGGGGGGGGGGGGGGTGTTT